GGCTAAACTTGATTCACTCAATTCCTCAGCCTAATGCACTTACCAGTGGGCATCCCAGGGGCTTGCCCCCAGGGAACCCCTGAGGATTGTACAAAGTGGTTTGTAACTGGTACCCCTCTGTTGTCCCCTTTTGGGGGCAACAGTTGGTTCCAACACTTTAGATGAAGCCTCCTGTCAAGGGACTTCCTGATTGAAGTAAAATTTCTCTTTACTTCTTTTTATTTGGGCGTCACCGAAATAGAGTAATCGAGTTTGCTTGTTTTGATTCAAAGTTGCAATAGGTATGCAATACCTGGGAATGTAAACACTCCAAGTAAACAAGCCAAACGACACGAATGTCTGCCGTACGCTGGGTCACAACACAACATTTATCTTCGTTGCATACGACCCACAACGACCCACAGATAACGCACGGCAAACAAATCGGCAATAGAAAACAAACCTTTTTGGAAAAACAAGGTACATTGAGTGAAACAAACTATCAAATACTTAAAATTTTCTCTTTGGAAAAATATCATCCTTGCAGCTCATGGTGTGAATGGTTTGGCTTATTGCCAAGAGTTTGACAATATTTTTGCTCTCAGTTGTGGAGCGCCAAAGAAGATGTCACGCAAAATTCCATGATCTCGTGCATGAAATAACTTAGGGTCACATTGAATGATGTATGATTTCATTGCATATTTTTGGAAATGAGGTGATTTCTTAAAATCTTATTGAGCCAAGTGAACTCGTAAAAAAGTTGCATCCTTTCACGGTCGAACCGTAAAAGGGGCAGAGTCCAACATATTCATGTGCAAACTGCTTTTTATTTTTAAAACCCTTGAGTTAATTAGATAATGTGGTATTCTCTCATACATGACCCACGAAAACAGGCTAATTCCATAGCAAATTCAATTGCAAACTGTGTAACAATACAACTCACAGTAAGGGCCTGATCACATGAGCCGGGTTAGCAATACCCATGAACAGTGTGTTACCCACTGTCCTGTTTCTTGCTTTGTTCATTTGCCGGGCCGCCTGGCAAGTGTGATTACTTGGAAAATTGCCACCTGGGATTCCTGCATCACAGTACCAGGATCCCAGCTAACCAGGCTGGCTCAGTTGTCATATAGTCCCAAAGTTGATTTTTGTTGCATTTAACTAAGGTGCCGGGATCTCTGTAAAGCAAGCCAGCCCAGCTCCTGTAATCAGGCCCTAAGTTCTAGAGCCAGATTTTATGCCCTCACCTTGACCTCACCGATTTTTCAAAGCCCCCAAACACACGCACAAACTTTCATCTTCATACCGCCTTCTCTATATTGAATGAACTTTTGGCTTTATTCATGTTCTAATATTATCAAAAATAAAAGAAAAACGATCCTAAAAAGAAAGCCTAATAACGTTTAAAAGTATGTTTTCGACTATTGATAAGACTTTTCACAACCACCACTACATTTCAACATGTTGTAACTACACCCTTCATAACCAACATAACCGACCTCACTGCAACACCTAACTCACTGTTACCTCCCAAATTAATTATCTTTTGTTACTTCATATTAAATTCTACGAGAAACAAGTTTCACTGATTAGCAAACTACAGCCATTATCCTACCAATTTACGTCCAATATAACTCCATGCCTTCCACATCACGCCTTTCAACCAACCCCTAAAATATACAACGCTACTGCACTACTCAGTAAACTCACATATCCCTATTAAATGCACATAAAAAAAACTTCACACACGCCTAGAACATCGATGCCCAAATATATGCTACAACAGCATCTTGTTTTACTTAAAATGCCTCTTTTAAAGAGTAGTATGACTGTAAGGCAAAGTTTAAAAAAATGAGAAAAAAAAATAGCAATAGCAACAAAATGTTTCTCATCCCTGCCAGCTTCATTTTTTGAGGTAGCCTCTAAACCTGTGATGAGTTGGTCTTTATTCCCTTTTTCTTTGGAAGGTGATAGCAGTCATGATCTTGACATTTATCTTATCCTAATATAAAGGTACCTTTGATGGGTGGTTTGGCTGCACCGTGGTTAGATGCTTAGTTAATTTTGCAATTGGCCCTGCTGTCAAACTCAATTAAGATCCACATGCACAAATCACAATTTGGTTTGTCTCAAGAAAAGTTCGAAGTCTGGCCTCAGCCTACACTTGTCTACTGCATGGAATGAAGTTGAGCTTTCTTTGTAAGTCAAGGAATGGGAAAGGACAACATTCTCAGTCTATACTTCTCCTATTATTCTCTCTCTCAGCCATTTCTGCTAGGTGCATAACAAATCGTAGCTGGGGTCTTTTCCTCAGGGATTCTGCTAGAAAATTGCAAAAGCAATCCAATCCCCCATTCTGGGCTAAAAATTGGCAGCAAATGTCAACAAATCCAGTGGACCATGCCCACATAAGCCCCCAGGGAGGATTGACCCCCCCCCCCCCCTTTTGGGATGACCATTGTTCTGGGATGACCACTGATAAGTGCATAATCATTATACTTCAGAGTCATTTTGCAAAAGGTGCTCCATCAGTATAGTAGCCTTTTTTCTGTTATGACAACCGTAAGATACGTTAGTAAAAACTGGCAACCAAAAAGTCAGTTTTGGATCCTGCAAAGACAACAAGAATGCATCACACAATTTCTTCTCCCAAGTCATTTGCTCTTGAAGATGCATGGGTGCTGTCCCAACGAAGTCTGTCTTGAGAACCTAACTACCTACCTTGCCTCTTCGAGCTCCATTGCGTATAAGGCCTCCGTCTGGAGAAAGTTGGCAATTATTGTTATTTTTTATTTTCTTATTTGTGTGACTGAAACCATTTTTAAGCACAGGAATTATTCTCTGTTCTACAGCTTGCACAGTGAAACACTCCAATCCATCCATGGAATATCCCAAATCTTCCAGAGGGAGTTTCTTTGAGCATCAACAGGGATGACATAACTGGCAGCACATTGTCGGGAAATAAGGTAAAGACATATATTGCACACATGAATAAAAAGCACTCAGTCTATTCTAACTCAGCCCTTAATTTAAGCCCGTATCGACATATAAATTTTCCAGACTTGAGTCGACCAATTGTAGACAGTCAATTTTCTTAAAGAATTAGTTGAGAGAATTTGAAAAAAGATCAAAGCATTTTCCCCCAGATGATCACTTTATTAATATTATTCTTACCACCTAAGTTATCTTTCGATTGATTATTATTAGGAAAAAATTGATGTTGGTCACTAGTGGACCTAAAAGGTTAATAATTGTAATAGTTGACACTACAGCTGCCCATACTCTGTATGTTGTCGGTCAAGAGTATCTTGGTCATTGTGTAGCTCTTTGAAATATACATTGTACCGATTCCTAATGAAGATTTTTACACATATTCCTTACTTATAATGACCTCACTCTTGTCTAATAAGTAGTATTTAATTATAAGCATAGCGACTGATATTATGTACTTCAAATACGTTTATGACACCCTGAGGTACACTACTCCATTTCATTGATCAATGCAGTTTTTATAGGTTATAGGTTTTTTATAGGTTGATTCTCAATTTTAATATTATTTATGATCATGAATAGTTATGGTTGAGAATTAACCTCGNTCCATTTCATTGATCAATGCAGTTTTTATAGGTTATAGGTTTTTTATAGGTTGATTCTCAATTTTAATATTATTTATGATCATGAATAGTTATGGTTGAGAATTAACCTCGGTTATAAAACCTTTTTTAACATAAATTTCATTTTGACCTACAACATGTACGTGCCAGTTTTGTCATCATTGTTTTATTGTGTGCCGTGTTATAGGTACGGAAGTTGGAGTTTCTTCTGGCTGATGCACTGAACAGTAACAATGTTACACCATTTTTACATGTGGTGGAGTGCAGTCAAATCATTGTAGAGCCACTGCAGTAGCAGCAAGACAGCTTGGCTTGGATTGTTATTGTTTCTTAGACGCTCTGAACAGGTCAGCTACACTGTATGTTTTCTTGCAATGTACAAAAATGAAGACCTTTTCACATCAGTCACCTTTACATGATGCCCTTGCTGTTTGAACCTATCCACATTAGCTCACATATATATTGCTATGGGAACCAGAAAAATATTCCTGGAGCAAGGGTTGAGAACCAATAACAAATTCAATGCAATGTATGCATTCACTTCCACAGTATTGAAACCTGGGATACATTCACCTTGTTGGAAGGTGCATGCTGTCACTCTCCCAAGTGCTATTCCACCACCCTTGTTTTCCCATCGAATCAGATATAAATTATTTTATTAAACCCATCAGCAATAGATGAGCATGGGGAATGGTGCCTGAAGAAGGTGGAGCCACAAGTCACGCAGAGCCTATTGCGCAGGGTATCCACGACAACCTGTGAGCGGGAACCACCAGGCACTGTCACACTAACACTAAAATACTTACCATATACTTATCATGCCATGAGGGATGGGTAGGAAAAGCCAGGCTGTAAATATCTGAGCCCCTGCATGCAAGCCCCGGCCACCCCACATACCGATCCTTGGGGGAAAACTACTGGCCAACATTTTTTCATGTTTAACTTACCCTAAATTACATTTATAGCCACATTTAAAAGATTATAATTTCTCATTCCTCTACACAGCAGCCATCTCAGAACTACTGCACTCACAACAGCAATCTACTGCACCAAATATTGTGCATTGAGCGGGCTGAATTCATTTTTTGTTATGTGTGTTGCCAGGAACAAATATTCTAACACAGTCAACTGGAGCACACTTTTCAAAACCTATATAAGAAGGACACCCACTGTTGGTAGCTTCCCTTGCTGTTTTCAGTCATTTTCTGCAACTAGGCTCCCTGTACATGTATGTGACAGACACCTCTCTACAAGTTCCATTAGTTGGTTCTGCATGATTCCCACTATGTTTATCTTAGAGAGAGTTTTAATTGAATTTCAATTTCTGTTAAATTTTAAACTATTAGCGCCCTCTTGGAAGGCATTACACTGTAGAACATGAATTTTTGTTGATTCCTATTCATATTGATGCAGTCTACTGATATTGGATGTAAAGGAAATCTTTTTCTAAACAAAATGGTTGGAAGCCGTATTATCGTTGTTCCAAAACTTCAATATGAATCAGGCCTTAAACAGATGATGGAGAAAATGGCAGAAAAATTGTAAGTGGCCTTAATGAAAAAAAAGACTGCAAAAACCTTTTTTTAGCTGGAACATAACTGTAGTGATAAACATTGTATTATTTGTGAGATAAGGCACTTTGGGCAAAAGATCAGAAAACCCTACAGCTATTATTGGCCACCCACAAATTGTAAACTTAAGGGTTTTTTTGTCCCCCTCCTTAAGAAAAAATTTGATTTCTAGTTGCCCTTTTTGCTTCTGTATTTTTTTTTATTTTAATTAATAATTAAGTACGCTGGATCCAGTGAATGTTTTTTCATACCTTTGAATCATAACGGGTCTTGACAAACTGCGAGCCAGCGAGCCAGCAAGTCATGCGAGTCGAGCCAGCGAGTCATGCGAGTCACGCGAGTCATCATGTGAACGTGAGCCATGCGAGACAAATGTTAGTTCGATCCTGTCTTAGTATGTGCTGCATAACAAAAATGCCAAGAAATTCATTATTCCTTTTTCTCCATCTCAAATGACATTGCATCCAATTGGATCCAGATTTAACGTAAGAACAGAGACTTAGCGTTGGAATACTTTGATTTAATACCACTTGTACTTCTTGAGATATCGTTTGTTACAGTTCATAGTTTAATTCAGTGTCCAAATGCATATATTCGGTAAAACACACTTTGGATAGAGCGAAGTCAACATGCATAAACCCAGTCTGCATTCGTCCCCCTTCCCCCCCAAAAAAAATAATTTAAAAAGCTATTTAGAGCCACTATAAGGGGGTGAAACTTAACTACAGTTTACGAGTCGTTGCTAGGGACATTATTTCGTGGTTATTATTTCTCACGTGTCTTAAACCGCTAACATGGAGGGAACCGTGAAACTGAACATAAGACAACACTAAATGGACATTACACATGCGCAACTAGTGCCAGTCCCCAATCCCGCAAGCGCAAAAGTTCAAAGGAAAGAGAATCCATTTCTTTGGCGAATCATAAGCAATTTAACTTTTTTTAACATCTGTAGCATGAAATTAGCGTTCAGACGAAAGCAAGAAAGTCTGTTAAAGAAAATGTATGAAAATACCCCTCAATGACATCATAGCTTTTTCGATAAATGTGAATTTTGAGAGGGAACGTTAAACTTGTTAGGAAGTCAGGTTTTTTTTTTTGCGATATTCTTAAGCCATTGGCATTGGTTTTATTGTGAAAGATGCAAGACGTTTGGGTTTCAAAGAGTGTCTTTTTTTATGTTCTGGACATGTGACTTACCACATATGGTGTGACTCATTTAACGTGACCGAGGAAGAACCTTTACACCTTTGTTTAACGAATTCTCAAACCTTTGTTACTGTTTCACCTCGTTCATTGTATGTTGGCGAATTTTTCTGAAGCTGAATTTTAAAGGACGTGCCTTTGGAATAAATAGGTTACCTAGTTACAGAGGCTAGTTTTTTTGTAGTTTACATTAAAAACAAAGTTATTTTATGCTGACTCGCATGGCTCGTTTGTTGACTCGCATGGCTCGCATGTTGACTTGCATGACTCACTGGCTCCCTGGCTCGCATATTATACACACTCAATCATAATACCTATCTATAATTACATGTAACTGATTCCAGAATATTGCTGGCCAACTCAAAATGTCATGTAGCAGTTGCACTACCGTATTTAATTTTCTATTTTATCAGAAAGCAACAGGGATCCTCAGCATATTTGATAGAGATATAGGCGGTTCATCTTACACCGGGATGTTTGGTTACTTGACTGCATTTCAAGAGATGATAGAACAGGTATGAGCTATTTGTATGAAATGAGTTATGTGACATCATTTTGTTGGTGAAAAGAAAACTCAGGTTAATAAGATTTTTAACCTGGGTAGATTTATTTCCTTTATCTGCAAACCGTAAAATGTATTTATTCAGGCATTAAGAAAATTGAGTGAAGTAGGTTGAAATTTAATTTAATTTTGCCTATAGTTCATGTTCCATATAGCTACACCGTATTCAAAAAATGATTTCTTGGGTCCTAAGTGACTTTTCCTCTCAATATTATTTTTAATTTTCTCCCTTTATTTTTCAAGCAAACAAAACAAACGGTAATTTGAAAAGCAAATCTACGTCTACATTGTAGCACTGATCAGAATTCTTGTGACAGAAATTTTTTCCAGGAAACATCTTAAATGTCAAACATGGTTGCCACAGGGCAGGAAATGTTCAGGGAAAAAAATTTCTTCATTAGGTCAGGGAAAAGTCAGGGAATTTCACTTCAAGTCAGGGGAAGTTTTATGGACATATAATCATCATATTGTTCATGAAATTGAACAACAAGCTGATAGTGGGTTTCCAAAAAAGTCGATCCTTTTTGCACGTTATTGTTAAGGAGCTACACTGTTTCAATTCATGTACACTGCATGTGTCTTCCTGAAAGCATAAATTAATAAATGGCTGGAGGGGATCAGGCAGTGAGGGGAGCACTGAGTCCATTATGAATTATCAGGACTAATTTGTGCAATTGTTAATTCAGTGGGTCAGGGAAATTTTACAGTTTTCAGAAAAAATTCAGAAGAAAAGATTCCAGAAACCCCTGGCTGAAGCAACCATGTTAAAGTTCCTCTCTGGTCCACCTTGTTGCTTTGTATAGCAGAATTTCGGTTATGTTTAGTAATGACTTGAGATGAATTTAAGAGCAAAATTTTATTAATTTTAAGGATTTTAAAAAAATTGCAATGCAAATGGCGCTTTGAAGTGAAAAAATAAAATTATCACCTCACAGCAGAAGGAGGTACTGTACACCATGCAGTGTATAATTAGCAAACATGGGTGGTTATAGCGAGTGCTAAATGCTACTTCTCATCTTTTCTGTGAAAGGTACCTATATTATACAGGTACCTTTTCAGTATTTAACAGACACCCAAATTATTAAGAAGGTGCTAGTGAGGCCAGTACTATAGGTATCTACTTAGTAAAGTGTGCACTGTTCTTTTGTGGGAATAATATATTAAAAGCGATGATCAATCCGGGTACATATATTTTTTTAGATAAATTTAAATAGTTTTATTTTTTAAAGTAGTTGTAATTTGTTAGATCTTACTAGTTTGAACTCATTGTTTGTATGTTTTTCATATTTTATTCAGAATGTGTTGGAAGATTATGATGACTCTTGTTGTTACTGTCGGCAGTGGAGAAACAGCATCAGGAATTTCCGCTGGCAATTACTTGACTGGCTCAAAACTCAAGTAACGCTCCAGTTTAAATTTTTTCTGTCAAAAATGGTTTATAATTTTTATGTAAATTGGATTGGACTATTGGACAAAGCCTCCCCGTATATAACTTTGTTAAAAAATGGAAGCTAAGAAAAAATTTTTCCGTTTCTTTAACTTTCTAGATGCCATGCAGTTAATGTGTCTGACAGTGCACCTTTTTTTTACAATAAAATCAATGACGACCTTAGCAGTTGGGGAATTGACGTCAGAGCAGAGGATATTACAGATATTATTGATGGCTACAAAGGGGGAGGATATTTTGTGTCAGCTCAATATGAACTAGGTGGGTAGGACTGGAGGAATTGGCGTCAGATCAGAAGACATTATAGATATTATTGATGGCTACAAGGCGGGAGGTTCTGGCGTGTCAACTCGACAAGTGTGTACACTCTTTAACAGGACTGGGGTAATTGAGGTGTTTGAAGGCGGGATACAGTTGTGCATAAACTGTTAAATTTGCTTAGTATTATCTGATTCTATACACATTAGACTCTATACTTGCAAACTCCCAATTCCCAAACCTTCCCCTGCTTTCCCTGACTCTTCTCATACTGAGGTTGGCCACTGAATTTAATTTTGTAGAAACAGTGTGCATTTTTCTGGCTCCGTCAACTTGCACGACATCATCTTACAATACAACTGCTTCTTGCCAAGTGTCTTTGAAGTTGGTAACATTGCAGAATCATCGAGAATGACGCCAAAGGGAAATTCTCAGACCGAAGTCACTGCAGGGAAGGGGGAATACATGTTAAGAACTGACTGAGTAATCAGTAAAATAGCAATTGACTGAGTCGTTTAGTGTGACGCGACAAGAGGTGTGCAGTGTTTTTTTTTTCTTTTACTCATTGTATTTATATTATCAAATTGCAGAGAACATCATTAAGATTTTAAGACCAACTGGAATATTGGTAGATGAAGGCGATCAGATCAAGGCAGAGTCAGTTCCTTGAATTGGCTTTTACAGCGTTTTCCAAGGTTCGCACTTGCCATTGCTCTGCTCTGATTGGTTCAGAATATTTTGGCGCGAAAAATACATCGATAAATCAGGGAGGATTGCCTAATTTCATACCGCGCGGGAGCCTGGCACTACCGGATTTTCCTGGACTTTTTAAATGACTCCCAAAACAGAGGGTAAAGCAGAGGTCATCGCGTCCAGTTGAAACGATATTAAGGGCCAGATTACCCCAGAAAGTTAATATTCTACAGCAAAGAACAGTTGTTTTACTGCTATGAAGAACTTCGATTAAAAACCTTGAGAAAAGAAAGATCAAATCGGACACTTTCGCTACTTGGAAGTATTGGAAGGATTCCCGAATTGTTGGACAAAAAATTTGAACAAAGAACCGTCCCATTTAGCTTTTTCTACGACCTGGATCCGACCGAATATTGGGGAATGATAAGAGAGTGGGTGTACCTGTTTTTACAAACCGTAAAATAAAGACTACAAAAAGCAAAACACGCCAGAGTGACCCTGAGTCACTGAGTGAAAAGGCAACATCGTATTAGGTCGGCAAGGCTTACATTAGGTTTTCTCTCCGTCGCTGCGTGCGGTCTCAATAAAAAATCCTAAAGATCGGACCAGAGACAATTCTCACCGAACATAGATAAAAGCAAGTATACTTCAGTCTTAAAAGAGAGGCATTTCGGTAACACTGCAGTTCCTGTGACCAGTCAGACCTCATGCATTGAGCAATGTTATAATACAGAAATAATATTTCTTGGGGCGATAAATTGTATATAGTATATAGTTATTTTTTGAGGCCCCTGCGTGTGATTCTCTACCTTCCAGTTACATTGCAATTCTAGCAATTTATATAGACACTACTCAAGACATGTATGAATTCATTGGCAAAATGTGAAATGGCAATGGCTTACGAGGGCTCACTTGTTGAGCTGCCTCTTTTTGGAACTTATTGGGTCCACGAGCATGTTTACAATTTGGGGTAATCACCTTGTAATTCAATCAAGAATGTCACGTTCATCTTCCTTTTTGGCTAACATACACTGAGTATAGACTTGTCCCTTGTTCTCCTGCGTGTGATTTAAGAACACTAGGTTTAACATACATAACGCCACAAAGTTCACTACACTCAGTACCTTTCACGGACATTTCTATTTTCCGCTACGGGAATAATCCAGGTAAGCCTTCTGTACTGCCCTTTTAAGTTTTGCTCCAGCATATCTTGGTTACGATCGGTACGTACACATTCACATCTGTGTTCTTGCCTGCAATGATCCACTGCAATACAGAAGCCGGTAGAATTAAACAGAGGATCCAGTAAGCTGTAGAAAATTTATAGTCATCTTTGGTTCGAGCCACCTGTTCATCGAACAATTGCTTGCACTTGCGGCTGAGTGTCGGCTCATTAAGTTTAGCTTCAGGTCATGACAGAAATACTGCATACTTTCCTTACTAAGTTTACACAGATTCTCCGAGGGAATATTGATCAATATTTCTTCGAAAAAGAATGCTTTCGTTCGAGTTTTTACTCTGACTATCCTCTGACTATCCGTCATTTTGAAACTGGACTATTTAAAAAGTCCAGGAAAATCTGGTAGTGCCAGGCCCCCTCGCGGTATGAAATTAGGCAATAAAGGCAGGATGAAGCATTGAATTCAACTTCAGCAGTTATGACTGACAAGTTTGACCTTCTTGGGTGCAGACATAAACATATAAAACTGTGTGGTAATAATACTATTATCAAACTAGTTTACAGACCGGAAGCGCGGAAAGAGCGCTAGAGCTAGTCCTACTCCACATCACACATCGCTTGAAGAGCTGAGTGCTCGATTCGTCCCCTAACTATTATTCGACTTGTTGTAAATAACCTGAAAATCTACCACACTATGACCCAGGCCTTATTATATATGACAGATATACGTCCCCGGGTGATTGGTTAAAGTTAATGATACTTACTTTTTCTTTTTAGGTGGGGTTTGTATGATGGCAGAATGGATTCCTTGATCACAGGTTCGTAACCCTGCAGAAGGAATAAAGCAAGTTTCTTATTGGGCAGACAACAATGATCCTCTGCCGTTTTAACAGTAAAATAAAAATAAATATTAAAGAAGCAAGAAGTAGAAGGGTAAAGGCAAGAATGGAAACCGATGACCTCCCATCTCCAGCTTGTCCCTTCATAAGAGCGAGAGAGAGCCGGACGGTTAAGAGGGTCCCCTTTAGCCGTGTTTTTTTCCGGATGCAGGATTTGCGTTACTTGAATATCGTGATTCGGGATATTAAAGCAAAATGGAGGCCAGATTCGGGAGTATATGGGATACGGCTTGCCGAAAATAATCATCAGGATTTCGGGATTCAGCGAAAATTAAGGATGGCGTCATGGGATCGGAGGATCGTATAAGATACCCTCAAGTAATCAGCTCCTGATACCCTCGGGTACCTACCCAACTAAATGTTTATTCCATGTCCCAATGAAAGCATAGTGGAATGCTACATTTGAACTTGAGT